GCGCCACTGCACTCCAGCCTGGGCGACAGAGCAAGACTCTGTCTCAAAAAAAGAACACTTTAGGAGGTCAAGGTGGGCGGATTACGAGGTCAGGAGTTCGAGACCAGCCTGGCCAGCATAATTAAACCCCGTCTCTACTGAAAATACAAAAAACTAGCTGGGTGTGGTGGCGGGCGCCCGTAATCCTAGCTACTCGGGAGGCTGAGGCAGGAGAATTGCTTGAACTCAGGAGGTGGAGGTTGCAGTGAGTCAAGATCGCACCATTGCACTTGAGTCCGGGCAACGGTTCTAGACGCCATCTCAAAAAAAAAAAAAAAAAAAAAAAAGACACCTTTAAGAGACACTTAAGTGAACTGTGCCAGGTGTAGTGACTCACGCCTGTAATCCTAACATCTTGGGAGGCCAAGGCAGGTGGATCACTTGAGTCCAGAAGTTTGAGACCAGCCTCGGCAGCATAGGAAGACCCCGTTGTCTACAAAAAATACAAAAATTAACCAGGCATGGTGGTGGCGTGTGCCTGTGGACCCAGCTACTCTGGAAGCTGAGGCGAGAGGGTTGCTTGAGCACAGGAGTTCCAGGCTGCAGCGAGCCATGATCGTGCCACTGCACTCCAGCCTGAGCGACAGAGCAAGACCCTGCCTGTAAAAAAAAAAAAAAAAGGAAAAAGAAATGGAGTCCAGGTGATGGACTGGTAGGAGGGACAGTGTTGGGGGCCTGAGGAAGGAATCAAGGATGAAGCTTCAGTGCCCCCTAAGTCTCTGCTCGCCCCTGCCAGACCCCCCCATCCTCTAAGACCTTGGCATCTACCCCCTGCCCCAGCACTGACCCCAGAGACAGTCTGGGAGTGCCTGTCCAGCTCTGTCTCCCAGCCTGGGGACACCTAGGAGCTGGGCCAGGCCTGTATCCTCTCTGGGGTCCAGCCTCACCCGGTACAGGGTAGGCACAGTGGTGGGGGTGTGTGTGGCACCAGGAACTAGATGCCCCATCCTTGCCCATCCCCCTGTTCCAGCCCCTATACACGGTGACTGCTGGCCGGTCCTGCCAGATGTCTGCCCTGCCGCCCTCCTCCAAGATGAGCTATGATTTTCTTTCTCCCACACCCCACAACCTACCCCTGGGACTGTCCCCGCAGCCTCTACAGAAACCACTGGCTCTGGGCAACTTGGCCCCAAGGGAGTGGGGAGGACGCAGGTGCAGCATGGGGTGGGGCCAGGGTGGGGCCTCTGAACCCACTGCGTCCAAGCCTCTCACCCGCCACCCAGGTGCCCCTGAACCGAGGAACGCAGGCGGTGGTCGTAGGGAGGGGAAGGGAAGCCCCAGGAGACGGCAGCAGCATGGGCGGGCGACCCTCGAGCCCTCTGGACAAGCAGCAGCAACAGCACCTAAGGGGTGAGCAGCCGGGGTGGGGACGGGGTGGGAGTCCGGGTGAGCGGGGGCTCCAGCCATTGGGTCCACATGCTCCATGCAGCAGATGGGGTTGGAGTTCAGACCTAGGACTGTCAAACACACAGGATGCCTTCTTAATGTAAATTTCTCACAGTGAATCTTTTGTTATTGTTGAGGCAGGATCTTGTCTGTTGCCCAAGCTGGAGTGCAGTGGTATGATCATGGCTCACTTCCACCTTGGCCTCCTGGGCTCAAGTGATTCTCCCGCCTCCACCTCCCAAGTAGCTGGGACCACAGTTATTTTATTTTTTTAATTACTATTATATTTTAATAGAGTCAGGGTGTCCCTATGTTGCCCAGTTTGCTTTTGAACTTGTAGGCTTGAGTGATCCTCTCACTTCAGGCCGAATAGCTGGGACCACAGGAGTGTACCACCACATCTGGCTAATTTTTTTATTTTTGTTTTTGTTTTTGTTTTTGTTTTTGTAGAAGCAGGGTCTCACTATGTTGCCCAGGCTGGTCTTGAACTCCTGAGCTCAAGCGATCCTCCCACATCAACCTCCCAAAATGCTGGGATTACAGGCAAGAGCCACTGTGCCTGGCCTGCATCTTATTTTTAGTATAAGTATATCCCAAATTTTGCATAGTGCACACTTATGCTAAAAACCAATTACCCCTTTATCTTTTTTTTTTTTTTTTTTGAGACGGAGTCTCCCTCTGTTGCCAGGCTAGAGTACAGTGGTGCGTGGTGCAATCTTGGCTCACTGCAACCTCCACCTCCAGGATTCAAGCGATTCTCCTGCTTCAGCCTCCCAAGTAGCTGGTATTACAAGTATGTGCCACCACGCCTGACTAATTTTTGTATTTTTAGTAGAGATGGGGTTTCCCCATGCTGGCCAGGTTGGTCTCGAACTCCTGACCTCAGGTGATCTGCTCGCCTCAGCCTCCTAAAGTGCTGGGATTACAAGTGTGAGCCACTGTGCCCAGCCTGTGTCTTCTATTTTTATTTGGTAAATCCGGTGACCTGATTTAGGGCAGCGGTTCAAGTGGGAGGCATGGGGCCAAGTGGAGGGTGTCCCAGACCCAGCCAGGCCCTGAGGGATGTCTTCCTGAGTGGGCAGGGACTAGCAGGCCCCTCAGCAGGACCCTGGGGATGGAGGCTCAGTTCCCAATTTGAGACTAAGAGGGGCCAGTGCCAGATTCAGTGCCATTCAGGTCCCTCTGTCCTCATATGCGGAGTGACCACCTGTGCTGGGCGCTGGGGACATTGTGGGGTTGGTATTGTCCTTACCCTCGCAGGCTCATGGCCTAAACACCTTCCATCTCATGGCTCTACTATGTGGGGCTTCTGTGCCCAAGGTGACCTCATGGCACAGAACAGCTGCTGGAGATCCAACCATTGGGTCTACATTCTATGCAGCAGCTTGGAACAGTGCTTTTTTGGTTTTGGGTCAAGTCATGACCCAAAATGTGTGGTGAGAATGATGGGAGAGAGCTCACATGTTCCTCGAGTGTGGGGAAGAGCAGAGGTGGGTGACTGCCCGCCGAGGAGACAATGGTCAAGTCGGGGCTGGAGGGATGTGATGGCGTTGGTAGGAAGGAGATACCAGAAGAACATTTTGGACAGGAGAAACAGCATGTGCTAAGGCCAGTGATGTATCTTGCAAAGAAACAATTCACATTCACATCCTGGTCATTCCCTCATTTGCTGTGTGCCCTTTGGTAAGTGACTGCACCTCCCTGGGCTTCATTCTCTTATATGTAAAATGGAGATAGCAATAATACCTAGCTCATAGGGGCATTGTAAGGATCCAAAGAGTTACTCTATGTAGCACTGGGAATTTTTTTTTTTCCCCCTGATAGTGGCTTAAACAAGATAAGGACTTTTTTTTTTCCCCCTCAAACTGAGAGGTGTGGAGGCAGGCAGGCTAGTAAAAGACACCTGCAGTCCTTCCATCTCATGGCTCTGCCATGTGTGGATTCCTGTGTCCGAGATAGCCTCATGGCACAGAATGGCCGCTGGAGCTCCAGCCATTGGGTCCACATTCCAGGCAGCAGAATGGAAGTATGTTTTATGTACAGTCAAGTGTACACGCCTTAGGGCAACAGCTCAAAGAGCTAGTCACCCATCTGACTACTTCCTAGATAGATCAGGATACAGGACACCTCCATCACTCACAGAAAGTCCCCTTGTGTGCTTTGGAGCTTTAAAAGCTTTTGAAAAGCTCCCCAGGTAAAGCATATGGGGCCACTTTTGGGTGTGATGGATCCGCTCGTTGTCTTGATTGTGGTGAGGGTTTCACGGATGTGTGATTGTGTCAAAGCTCAGCAAACCATATGCTTACATGGTACATGAGCTCTCAGTGAAGGTGTGGCTCAACCTGTATTCCCAGCACTTTGAGAATCCAAAGTGGGAGAATCGCTTGAGGCCAGGAGTTTGAGACCAGCCTGGATAACACAGCAAGACCTTGTCTCTACAAAAATAAAATAAAAAAAAAATTAGCTGGGCATGGTGGCACGTGCACAAGATCCCAGCTACTGGAGTAGGGCTGAGGTGGGAGGATCACTTGAGCCCAGGAGGTCAAGGCTGCAGTGAGCTGAGATTGCACCACTGCACTCCAGCCTGGGGGACAGAGACCCTGTCTCCAAAAAAAAAAAAAAGGACAAGATGAGCGAAGGAGCCGGGAGTTCAAGACCAGCCTGAGCAACATGGTGAAACCTCGTCTCTACTAAAAATAGAAAAATTAGTCAGGCGTGGTGGTGGGCGCCTGTAGTCTCTGTAGTCCCAGCTACTTGGGAGGCTGAGATGGGAGAATCACCTGAGCCCAGGAAGTGGAGGTTGCAGTGAGCTGTGTTAGTGCCACTACACTCCAGCCTGACAACAGAGTGAGACTGCATCAAAACAATAACAACAACAAAACCATCTCTACTAAAAATACAAAAATTAGCCGGGCGTGGTGGCGGGCGCCTGTAGTCCCAGCTACTCGGGAGGCTGAGGCAGGAGAATTGCTTGA